AATATCTAGGAAGTTGAGTCCCTTCTGCTTGCTCTTATTTTTGGGGATTGTTAAATACTTTTGAATAATTTCTTTTTTTTTTTTTTTTCTTGCGTTATGCGGGCCTCTCACTGTCGTGGCCTCTCCCATTTGCGGAGCACAGGCTCCGGACGCGCAGGCCCAGCGGCCATGGCTCACGGGCCCAGCCGCTCCGCGGCACGTGGGATCCTCCCGAAACGGGGCACGAACCCGCGTCTCCTGCATCGGCAGGCGGACTCTCAAGCACTGCGCCACCAGGGAAGCCCGAATAATTACTTTTTTAAATTTAATTTTATTTATTTATTTTTGGCTGCGTTGGGTCTTCGTTGCTGTGCGCGGGCTTTCTCTAGTTGCGATGAGCAGGGTATACTCTTCGCTGCGGTGCGCGGACTTCTCATTTGCAGTGGCTTCCCTTGTTGTGGAGCACAGGCTCCAGGTGCACGGGCTTCAGTTGTGGCACACAGGCTCAGCGGTTGTGGCTCGCAGACTCTAGAGCGCGGGCTCAGCAGTTGTGGCGCACGGGCTTAGTTGCTCTGCGGCATGTGGGATCTTCCCGGACCAGGGCTTGAACCCGTGTCCCCTGCATTGGCAGGCGGATTCTTAACCACTGCGCCACTAGGGAAGCCCCAAATCATTACTTTTCTTTACTAGAATTATTTTGCCAGGTTCTATGCAAAAAATCTTGTTAAGATTTTAATCAATATTGCCCCTGTCAACATCTCTGCTGAAACTGCCTCAGCAAGACCAAATGCCTCCATCCCTGGAGACCAGAGCAGGAAAAAACAATGCATCACAAATATGGCCTCCACCTCACTCCCACCTTCCAAATTCCATCTAAATCTGACTGGTGGAAACTTAACTGCATCTAGAAGGCTAGCTGCAAAGGGTGTTTAGGAAATGTACATCTTAGCTTTAAAGCCTCTGTAGTACAAGAAGACAGAGAAGAACCAAGGGTTTTTAAACTACAGTAGGTCATGAAATCAGTTTAGTGGGTCACAAGTGGCATTTTAAAAAACAAAATGGGAAAGAATATAAGCTATCAGGGTACCAAGCAAGAATAAGCATGTTTCATGGAAGTTTTATGTATATATTTTAATATATTTTAAATATATATACATAGTAAGTATTGTAAGGCATGGAGAAAGAGACAGAGATAGAGACAGAGACAGAAACAGAGACAGACAGAGATTAGAAAGAGGTGGAGGAACAGGGAAGAGAAAGAATAAGTAAAATACATTTCTTATTGTGGTCATTATCAAGAAAGTCTGAAGGTCCTGGGAAGGTGAAGAGATGCCTTAGGTCAATTCACCTTATGTGCTACAATACCCCTTATACTGCTAAGGAAGTTTCCCTTTTACTCCTTGTCTGTTAGTAGCTTTTATTTTAAATAGGTGTTGAATTTTGTCAAATAATCTTCATGCATCTATTGAGATAATCATAAGATCTTTCCCTTTAACATACTACACAGATGCATTTTCTAACAATGCAGTATCTTTGCATTTTTCTCTTTCCAGAAATACTTTTATAGTTATCTTTTGTACCCACTGACTCTCTAACTTTGCTACAGCCCCTGACCCATATACCACCCATAATTTCTAGCAGATTCTATATTTGCTCAATTTGTCAAAGATGCTACTGTGTACATCTTGATACGTTCTGTAAGAACAAAAGGTCTACATTTTATAATTCTTTATCATATTCACAAGAAACCAAAATACCCGCATTTTATTTTGTTAAAAAAATCCTTTATATGTATCCAATTTAAGAACTAATAATCCAGTAAGAATTAGTAATGGAAGAGTAAGTCCTATTAGAAAGCTGCAGTTTAATGCAGTTTAATTAGTAGAATTATTTCAATATGTTTTCATTAGGAATATGAATCTATTAAAAGTACCTTTATCAATCTGACCTCCATAAAAATACTTGCCCAGATTACATTTACTTAAGTAGTATCCCAGAAACTTTCATTTGCTTCTTATTTGTTGTATTTTATTTGTTCATTTTTAAGTACTAAAGAATGTCTACATTGCTTGAAATCAGCCAAATGACAAATACTGCATTTTCAATGGGCAGTGGTTTTAACTCAACAATCAGGAAACTACAAAACAGTTTCTTTCAACATATCTGTGTGGTGCCAGGGTTCTGGACAAGCTGTTGATAAGTAAGACCTTTGACCCTGGAAGCCCTGGGATTTCTTATGTGTCTTATGGTTTCCTTGCTGCTTTTTAGGAGAAAAGAAATTTAATTTTGAATACAATAAAAAATTTAAAAGGATACCTTTTACAAATCATCTGAACAAACAAAATATGTTACCTATAAATTAAGAGTTTTCCAATAATTTAATCAATACAAATATGCTCATGTGCACCATCTCTACAATCACTCTTTTTCAACAGTTAATAGCAAAAGGAAAAAATCTGTTTTTATAAAAGGCAAAGGGATGAAAAGACAGTAATTATTATTTTTTAAAATTAATTAATTTATTTTTGGCTGCGTTGGGTCTTTGTTGTTGTGCGCAGGCTTCCTCTAGTTGCGGTGACCGGGGGCTACTCCTCGTTGCGGTGCGTGGGCTTCTCATTGCGGTGGCTTCTCTTGTTGTGGAGCATGGGCTCTAGGCATGCAGGCTTCAGGAGTTGTGGCACGCAGGCTCAGTAGTTGTGGCTCACGGACTCTAGAGCTCAGGCTCAGCAGTTGTGGCGCATGAGCTTAGTTGCTCCGCGGCATGTGGGATCCTCCTGGACCAGGGCTCAAAACCATGTCCCCTGCATTGGCAGGAGGATTATTAACCACTGTGCCACCAGGGAAGTCCCCAAAACAGTAATTATTAAACTTTGCCAAAAGACCATCTAGGAAGAAACAAAATTTAGTGACACATCTGATGTGAGCAGCTGATAGCCCAGCCTTAGCAACATGTGTTCAAACTGTGTACCCTTCCCTCCCTTCTTCTACCCTGGAGCTGGGAAAAGAGAATACCCAGGCGCAGAACTAATGGAATCCTCAATTATCTAGCCAGAGGCAGAGGGAACCCCAGTGCCAATAGAAAGCTGGATTCCCAGTTGGTCTTCAAAGAGAACAAAGCCATGACACTGGTTGTCTCTGGGTGTTGGGCCTATGAGTAATACATTTTTAAACTTCTAGTTTCCACATGTTTTTATAATGGGATTATTACTCTTATAATGCAAAGAAGGCTCCAACCAACCAAGAATCACCTATGTGTTGGTTTCTTGTTTTACGTTTAACTTCACAACGAAGAGCTTCTAAGTGTCCTTGTAAGTTCTTTCTTTCTTCCTCTCTTGATGGTGGGCAGGGTCTCCATTTCCCAGAGAAAGACAGCGAGATTCCACAATTTGGGGGCTTGGGTCAGATTTGCCTGTGATTTACAAAAATGATACTGGGAGGAGTTCTACAATTTCCCTGATGGCTAGAAACAGTAATACTGTGTTCTGGGCACAGCAGCGAGAAATAAACAGTAGTAGAGATGGCCCTTATTTATAAAGAGCCCAATACATAATCAAGGGCATGAAGGACATAAAAATACTTTAACAAAGGTACAAGCTGGTATAGTGCAAACCAAGAGGTCAATGGAAGAGGACAGGACAGGGTTGGAGCCAATGCGAGGTGAGTCCTCCAAGATTTCCAGAAACAGACTCAGTGATGACTTCTCTTTATCTCCAGTGAAATTTCTTTTTCTCCAAGGGATTAATAGAAATGGAAATTCTGAAAACACAGAAATTTTCCCAGTTGGGAAAGTGACCTAAAGCAACACTGTCCAAGCTTGTTGACTCCAGGTTAACACTCCTATTTGAGATAACACTCAGGTTTCACGGGAAAACACTTTCAGCACATGATTTTAGGAAACAGTACGACTTTGATTTATTTGAAAGCTGGCAGTACTTAATGAAAACCAACATTTACTAGGAAATTACTGAGCCTTCCATTCTAGCTAACCAAACAGGCTGGAGCTGATCTAGGACTAGAAGAGTTCAAGTTCTTAAATGTTGCCCAAGTCCCTCTTTGCACAACACTGAAAACAAAACAAACAGAAAATTGTGAAAGATAATTTTCTTTTCTTCCTTATTAAAAACAGCACTTTTTTTTTTTCCTTTTTAACATCCAAAGTCTTGACATGTCACTTTTTAACTGACCTTCCCCCTTTATAAAACTTCGTCATTTACTGGGCATGGTTTGGAAGTTATTGCTGGTACTAGAATCTGAGATGGAAATTTTTCTCCAGGTGCACACAAGTGGGAACTGAAGAAATTACACAATTCGAGTATCAAAAGGAGCTGCCAGGGAGAGGCAGCCACACCTCTGACTCTGAACATTACTCTGGTGCAGCTGGCCTTTCCTAGCGGGTCATCTGTGGGACTGACTGAAAGCACAGGGAGCTCAAGCCAATCACTGGGCCAGGAACCAAGCTGGGGGCCCGAATTTCATCCGTTGGGATGAAGGTGGAGGGCCTCAGGCCACACAAATGACCTCTCAGTGCTTTTCTTCTGGCACAAAAAAATGAATGAAATGCTAACACCAACCTGCCTCAAAAGATTCCTGGTGAGGAGCAACTGAGAGGGGCAGATGTCAAATTTGGTGGACAGATTACGTGTTAATGGTGAGAAGAAATTTTACGTATTTGCCTTCAGGCCACAATGAAGTTGAAAGGCAACGTAATCAAACTTCTAGAAACAAGTGAGCTTTTACCACTCTGGCATGTGGACTTCAGCAATCTGGCCAGAGGTCATGATTTTGAGCTAAACCCGAATTGTGGGCAGTTAACAACTATTCCCTTGATGCAGTGATGTCCTGTTTCTTGAAATCTCTTCTCCAACTTCCTTGGTGCCTAAAAAACATCAGGCCACACTGAGTACCTTCGATGTTTGTTCAAGCCTATCTTTCCACAGCTCCCTTCAGTTTCCTGGGAGAACCTGCCCCCGTTGGAGGCAGAGCAGATGACCCTCTGCGTCTGAGGAGGAATCTGGGGCACGTCACTTGATCATCTGTGTCTCTTCATCCGCATCGTAAAACTCTTCCTCTTCCTCACTCTCACTCCCTAAAGGGCTCTCCTTGTCCACAGACTAAAGCAGGAAGGGAGAAAAGGGCAGGGAAATGATGTCATGATATTTCTAAAACTAAATTACTGTCTAGCATTCAACTGACAAATGTACTCTGATGACATTTATTCCCCTAAGAATTAGCCCCTAAAGTGTTCTAAGAAAGCTAATGAATCCATCTTTATTTCTCTGACAATCAGCTGCTATCAGATCCCACCTTTTTTATCCAGCAGCTTTGCTCAGTTCTATTTAATATAACTAGATATTCTTTTTTTTTTCTTTTCCCCCAAAACTATCATCATCCGAATGGTAAATCTGAATGATTAAGAAAAATTCCATCATACCTGAGGGGGATCCAAGGTCTGTAAAGATAACGCCTCCTCCCCCAGCCTCCGATATGAGTACACCTGAAGGTCAGAAAACGTCTCTAGCAATGGACTGTTAAGGGTTTCTGGCAATAATAAACTCAGAAGGCCTGAGGTCAGCCCCGTGGCTCCAAAGACAATGAAGGGTAAAGACCACTGCACGTACTTCTATGGGGGCAGGGAGTGGAATGAAAACAAACAAAAACTCAGTGTTAGTTTCCTAGCAGATGACATCAGCAGTCTTATGACCCAGGACCTGCCATGTTTACTGTCCAGGTCCTGCCTCCTCACTAGAATACACCAGAAAGCCCGTCTTCTTTCCCCTTAGAGAATTACCCCAGGAAAGCAGAGCCAGTCCTCGGGCACAGAGACAGGAGTGAGTAGATCAAAAGGACAGAGCTGGCCTGTGGAGCAGATGCAGCAGACTGTTCATGCATGGGCTGGGGACTGTGGGGAAGGGGCTTGGCTGTCTGAGCAGGGCAGACACACGGCCAGAGTGCGTGGTGAGTCGGACACTCAGCTTCCACTCCAGGTTGAGTGGCCTGCAGCACAGTGATCTCCACACGCAGGAGACACCCTGCATATTTGCTGACAACGACGAACTTTAAGGTTCTCAACTCTGGAATGGGCCAAACAGTCCCACATATGTGTTCTGATTCACTAAGCACCAGAACTGAAAGGCACGGGGCTTAAAGGTGTAAACACCCTGAAAAGGAAGAGAAAGGCCTAGAGAAACCTATACACATGGTTTGGACATGGTAGTGGGCTGGTCCAAAAGACATTCTCAGGAAAATTTAAATACAAACATACAATTTCAAAGATAACACCAAGGTTCTTGCAGGACGGGGCTCTGGGGGATTTCTGAACTGATTACCATTCCTGAGTTCCTGCACAGGAGCCACCCAGCTTTATCACCTGCCGGTTTGGGCTTCCAAATTCGGTGGCTAGTTAGGAGGTCCCTTCTGATCATCTTTTCCTGATTTTTCAAACGTGAAGAGATGATGGAGGAGGAGAGGGAGGCATGGGGAGGGGCCAGGAGAGGGATGAAAAACTCTGACCTCCGGCCCCCTGCGTGCAAACATGTGCCCGGAACTGTGTGCCTGTTGTTGAATCAAGGGGAACGTTCACCTCTTCTCAACTTAGTGGGACTCAGGGAAGACACAGCGCTGGGTGTTATAATGTTCTAGGACAGCGGTCCAAAGTTGAGCATCATTAATGATAAACACCTAGCGTTGGACACATTTTGCAAAATGGAACTAATATGACTCCTTCATAAGAAGGGTCTTGTGATCTAAAATTGAGCATGATAGTGGGAAGCAGCCGCATAGCACAGGGAGATCAGCTCCGTGCTTTGTGACCACCTAGAGGGGTGGGATAGGGAAGGTGGGAGGGAGGGAGATGCAAGAGGGAAGAGATATGGGAACATATGTATATGTATAGCTGATTCACTTTGTTATAAAGCAGAAACTAACACAGCATCATAACGCAATTATACTCCAATAAAGATGTGGAAAAAAAAGAAAAATAAATAAAACTGAGCACGAAACACAGAGAAATACTCAGAAAAAGGAAGTGTATCCCACTTCCTCAAGAAAAGAAAAGGCTACAGTGGCATTTCAGAGACGTCCTGTACTAGGACGAGGCGAGTAGTTGCCTGAGTGATGAGCAATTGTCTCTAGAACAGGCTCAAAGCCCCACATCAAACCTAATCACGCTTCAACAAGTCTTGGCTGGGCAAGTCCTAGAGGAGACCAAGCAGAGACATGCACAGGGGCTCCATGGGCTCTTTCTCAGAACGTGGACATTTTGAGATTGGATGGAGTTTACTTTCTCTTCCTTTCACCTTCTTCTCTTCTAACTTTCTTTTCCGAGTAGTGTGCTGTGTTCTCTGTTATCTAATACAGGGTACCAATGCCTACAGCATATGGTTGTGGTGAAGACTGCGTGATATGATGTATGTAAAGGGCTTAGCACAGAGCTCAGCACACAGCAGAAACTTAGGAAATGTTCACTAATCAACTAACATACAAATGGGGACAGGAAGGGGCAGGCTGGCATTAGCTAACTCTCCAATGAATACAGCCAATCCCTGGGAAGGGTCCATCTGCCCTCATGGATCCTTAATCTAAAAGGCACAAGGTGCACATCTGTGTCAGGCTGATCTTAAAACGGCAGCTGTTTGTTACATCTTTCTACTCAAAAGCACAAACATTTCCAAAGCAGAGAATCAAGAAAAACAAACTAGGAGGTACAAACCAACCAGTGAGGGGATGAAGGGAGCAATAATCCCACCAACTCGGGAGAACATGGAACAAGTTCCAAGCCCAACATTCCTGAAAGGCAAAAGGAAAAGGAAAAAAAAAAAAAGTAAGTTCTAGGGGGACAATTTAAAGACTCTAAGGGATAGTGGGCTCAGAATAACAAATCCCAAAGTGGAAGTGCAGGATGCTACAGAGCAGTACTGCCCACTAGAACTTTCTGTTCTGCTGCAAATGTTCTGTACTCGCCCTGTCCAATACGGAAGCCCCCAAACACAGGCAGCTACTGAGAGCTCAATGCAACTAAGAATGAGGAACAGAATTTTTAATTCATTTCATTTTAATTAATTTAAACTTAAATAGCCACATAGGATATTGGACAGTGCAGGTATAGAAGCTGGTGCAGAAATGAGCATGTGAATATTTCTTGTTAAATGTTCTCCTGGGTTCTCGTGTCTTAGGTCTCCTATCAGTTAAAACATCCATAGAAGAGCCAGGGTTTAATGATCTGAAAAGTCTGCCCATTTCTTTAAACTCAGCTAATTAACTATGAAAGGATCAGGCATATAAATAGGAATTGATTGGACATATATTCTCAGGAAACCAAGAACATTACCTTCTTGGGGAATGTGGGTAGCAAGGAGGAGGAGGAAATGAGAATGATAATGATTATAGGTAGGGTGACCATACAGCACCCTGTTATCCCAGCCGAATTGTTAGTAATGCCCACATTCACTCTCAAAAAGTGTCCCAGTTTGGAACTAAACGGTCACCCTAGTTTTATAGGCAATAGCCAGAGAAAGCAGGTTCTGGGAATAATCAGGGAATGACAAGCCAATCACAGACAACCTGATCTCTTACTGGGAAAAAGGCAGACAGAACCATTACGCTTCTTGCACGGATAAGGGAAAAAGAAGGATCTGTTTGGAATGATCCTCAAACAAGACGGGGAAAATGCCAACTGGGGGACTATGGTCCAGCCCACAGAGGCCATTCTGTAAAGACTAAGCTGCATCCCTGCCCTTCAAATTTAGGTTTTGTTTTTTTGTTTTCAGACTTATCTTATGAGGGGAAACTTAGGATGGAATATGTTGGGTTTTTTGGTTTTGTTTCTGAATATGTTATTTTTGATATAAGCAAGTCCTACTCATTGAAAACCACCTTTAACAACTAATATGTAAATATAATATTCACTTATAACTACAGGGAATTATCTTTATTTATTTATTTTTGGCTGCACCGGGTCTTTGTTGCTGCCCTTCTCCAGTTGCGGTGAGTGAGGGCTACTCTTCGTTACGGTGCGTGGGCTTCTCACTGCAGTGGCTTCTCCTGCTGTGGAGCACAGGCTCTAGGCACGGGGGCTTCAGTAGTTGTGCCATGTGGGCTCAGGAGTTGTGGCGCACAGGCTTAGTGGCTTCGCGGCATGTGGGATCTTCCCGGACCAGGGATTGTACCTGTGTCCCCTGCGTTGGCAGGTGGATTCTTAACCAGTGCGCCACCAGGGAAGTCTCATCTTTTTTAAAATGTGCAAATTTTGTGCTAAAATATAGGCTCTGTGATAACAGGGACCTTGTCTCCTGGTCCATTGTGTACCTGACACAGAAGGGTTGACTGAATAACTCACATGCACTGAAATAAAAATGACATCCGAGCACTATTTGGGTGATGGGATATGTTTGGTGTAGAGTACTTCTCTCACGATTGACAGGGAATTCATCAGCCCAAGATAAAGTTACGTTTTCCTCAGCCAAGCGGGCAACAGCAGTCTCCACAGGTTCTGGGCTCACAACTGCTTGCTGAGTTGCTGCTAGCCCACACTCGCTGTGCTCCAGGTGAAGTGAGGACCATGCCTCTGTCAATGCAAACATCTACAACAGAATTCAGGACACGGGAAGGAGAAGCCTGTGTGTGAGGCATACCTGATGACCGTGGGGTACAGCTCCGAGGTGTAGATATACACGACATTGAAGGCAGCGCTGATGGTCAGCTTCCCCAGCAGGGACAAGGAATGGCTGTTCACCACTGCGAACACACCTGTGTCTGAGGAGGACAAGTGCCACATCTGTGAGGTCCTCGGTGGAGAAAAATTCGTCTAAGTGACACACTTAATTCTGAAGGAGCGAGAGACATTTGTGGTGATCTCAAACAGTGAAGAGGTCATATAACCAGACACACATTCAGAAGGTTGAGTCATCACACACAGCACACAGCAAATATTTCTCAGCATTTTGGCCATCCCCAGGAAATCTTACACAGTGGCTGTCGTGATGTGTGACTAAACCTGCACAACCTAAATGTCCATCAACAGATGAATGGATAAAGGAGATGTGATATATATATATTACATACACACACACAATGGAATACTACTCAGCAGCCATAAAAAAGAATGAAATAATGCCATTTGCAGCAACATGGATGGACCTAGAGATACTAAGCAAAGTAAGTCACACAGAGAAAGACAAATACCATATGATATCACTTATATGTGGAATCTAAAATATGACACAAATGAACACGTCTGTGAAACAAAAACAGACTTAACAGATATAGAGAAGAGACTTGTGGTCGCCAAGAAGGAGGGGTGGGGGAGGGAAACATTGGGAGTTTGGGATTAGCAGATGCAAACTATTATATAGAGAATGGATAAACAACAAAGTCCTACTGTTTAGCACAGGGAACTATATTCAGTATCCTGTAAAAGCCATAATGGAAAAGAATATGAAAAAGAATATACGTATAACTAAATCACTTTGCTGTAGAGCAGAAATTAACACATTGTAAATCAACTATACTTCAATAAAATTAAAAAAAAAAAAAAAAACCTGCACTCACTCCTGAATGACAGAGCTCCCTGAAAACTTCTGTACTGGGGTCAAGTAAGCTTCACAGAAGTCGTTAAGTTCCACCTATCTAAGGGTATTACTTGCCTCTCCTTTCTTCCCAACCTCGTTCAACAATCAGTGATGTAAAAGGTTAATCAGCATGACAAGCCCTGACACAGGAGAGGAGTGAGTCTCAAAAAACTCCTATCTTCAGTTTGCATTCCTTGGTGTTCCATTGTAAAGATAAGGAATAATGCCACTAAACTACTACCGGAAGCTATAAAACATTAACGTTCTTTAAAGAACAAGACTCTAAATGTGGAACTACTTTTCATCCTTCCTCCTCCCCAACTTCTTACTTGAAGATTACTAATATAATGATATTTCAGTTTCTTAACGTAACATTTTTTACATAAAATGCAAAAATACAGTTTCTGTTAGTTCACGTCCCTATCAAAAATGCTATCAATTGTCCAGTGGTTCTTTCCTTTATTAATACTACCTTCTCTGGGATCTTACAATTTAATTATTCCCTCTCAAACATATTTAACCTCTCCCCTTCAGCAACCCACTAGGCCGTAACCTTCAAAATAACAGTTTTCTTCTCCTTAGGAAAAAGCAAAAATTCTCATTGGCTCCATTGTACTTTCTTCCCTTCACAATCAAACATCTCCAGTGAGTGACTGACCCTCCATTTCCTCAAACGCATCTGCCCTGTACATCACGACAATGTGGACTCCAATACCATCCTCTCCTGAAACTCCTATTCTTGAAGGTCAGCAGTAATGTCCTGATCACCAAAGTAATTGCCTCTCATTCTCTTTGACATTTCTGACTAATAGAACATGCCTGTCCCTTCCTTGGGACTGCATACCTGGCTCATCCAAACCACTCCTCCCTTAAATAACTCAAATGCAATATTCTCTCCTGCCCTTGACCTCCACGGTGCCCATTTCCCAATCCATGCAAATGGCATGCTTTAGACACTCTCCTGTAGTTGCTTACTTTTCCATCTTGTCTGCCCCCAAATATATATATATATATATATTTTTTGGCGGTACGCGGGCCTCTCACTGTTGTGGCCTCTCCCGTTGCGGAGCACAGGCTCACGACGCGCAGGCTCAGCGGCCATGGCTCACGGGCCCAGCCGCTCCGCGGCATGTGGGATCCTCCCGGACCGGGGCACGAACCCGTGTCCCCTGCATCGGCAGGCGGACTCTCAACCACTGCGCCACCAGGCAAGCCCCCCAAATATATTTTGAGTTGTCTCAGGCTAAGGCCTTGTTTCCCTCATGGGACCTCCCATAGTCTGATCACAGTGATGCTCACTAAATATTTATTGAAAGAGTAAGTATAAGGACTATAACAGGGATTAATTTAAGTGAAAAGAATCTGTGCTCATGTTCTTTCAATGCCTGAGGAGGGAGGCACATAATATATCCCATTCCAAAATAAAAGTTTCACATTCCCAGCTTGACTGTGAAATAAAACTTCAACTACTTTAAAGATGGCGCTCTGAACGCAGTGGCCCGGGCACTGCCAGACTCGACCATCTGGCGCCTTCTTCTCTTCTGCCAGGCTATTTGGAAGAATATGTCAGCAATTTTAAGTACTGAATATATTATTTTAAGCCATGAGGTACTTCTGGAAAAAGAAGCATGCTCAAGGTATAGGTCTGGACTTTTGATATCTAACAACTTCAAGTAAACCAATAATGAGGGCAAATTAAATTTATCAATGATTTTCCAGAAAACTGAATGAGTCAGGAAGAGGTCTTGGGTGGCACTGAAGCAAACAGAAATGTGCACATTTGCTTGACTGCGAATGATCTTTGGGACTGTTTTCAACCCATACAGGATGGCACCTTCCAGAACGGTGTTGGAGATACTCTACAACGTCTTTAAAACAGGTTAGGGGATTGCCATCCTGAAAATTAAATACAAATAACATGTCGCAGAAGGCTTACCATCTAAACACCCACAAGATCCAAGGCTGGAAGATTTCTCCCCTGTGAGACTCAGGACACTTCCAGCAGTGGCCATCTGGGGAGCCTGGCTCCAGCCGCATACCCACAAGTGCTCCCACCAGCCTGACACCTCATCTGATGCTTGAAACTCCTCCCCTTGTTCCTGCCAGTGGAGTCTGCAGTGGCCATTTGAACCTGGGGGAACTCACTCTCTCCCAAGATAGCCCATGTCAATTTCAGACAGCTCTGTTTATTAGAAAATTACTTCTTAGCCTGCCTGTGGAGCTGCCAGTCTATCAGTCATCATGAGTTAATATTTAGGAAGGCTTTGCGGCCACTGGGCTGATTCCCTGGATTTCTGACCTTGGTTTTTATCTGAAAATGAAATTAGATACCATTGGCTATTATCAATGAATGTTCAAAGTGACTGTTTAGGAAAAAAGAGTGATTTAAAAGGAAAAATTAAGCTCAATTATCTTTGCCAGAAAAAAAAGGGAATTTTCAAAACACTTGTATTCTTCAAAGTACTGAACTTCAGAGGTTTTAAGTTGATTCCAATGATGAAGATACTACGGACATCATTTTCAGAACTAGTTATCTGAAGTTTTCTCAGAGTCCACTAGGGTCACCAGAACAAAATACCTCAGTATGTCACAGTCACATTTCACTGACCCAAATAAGAAAAGTTAAACTTAATCATCCACTTCATTCACTGGGTGATTATAGTAAAGTTTTATTGTTTATGAATATGTTAAAAATCTTTAAGACAGTTGTAGGTCCTGTACTATGATACATAAGTTGGGCAAAGAACCACAATTCATTTTGCTTTCCTTTGGCTTTTTTTTTTCTGAAGAAAAATACCACATATGCCGAAAATTCTGTCACTATAGTTTTGCCATTTCTAGAATTTCACATGAATGAAATAATTCAGTTTGTAGGCTTTTGTGTCTGGCTTCTTTTAGTAAGCATAATGCTTTTGAAATTCATCCACATTGCTCCCTGCATCAGTAGGTCATAGCTCATTGCTTTGTTGTTGGTGAGTAATTCACTGTATGGATATAACACAATTTGTTTATCCATTCCTCAGCTGAGGGGCATTTGCGTTCCTTCCAGTTTGGGGCTATTATTAATAAAGCTGCTATGAACATCAAAGTCCTTTTGTGGATCTATGTTTCTGCTTCTTTTGGGTAAAGTTTAATCAGACAGTAAATTTATGTTTCTCTTTAAAATAAGCTGCTAATGTTATCCAAAGTCTCTGTACTATTTTACATTTCTATCAGCAGTGTATGAGAGTTCCAGTTCTTTCTTATCACTGCTGACATTTGGTATGGTCAGTCTTTTTACTTTTAGCCATTCTAATAGGTGTGTAGTGGTATCTCATTGTGGTTTTAACTTCCATTTCCCTAATGTCTAATGATGTTAAACATCTCTTCCCATGCTTATTTTCCATATTTATATCCTTTTGCAGAAGTGTCCGTTTAAACCTTTTTCCCATTGTTTTTTCATTACTGAACTGTAAGAGTCCATTCTATCTTCTGGGTACAAGTTCTTTATCAGGTATACGTTTTACAAATATTCTTCCCAGTCTGTGCCTTGCTTTTCATTTCCTTAATAATGTCTTTTAAAACGCAAAAGTTTTCATTTTGATGAAGTCTAAGTTATGAATTTTTTTTTTGTGCTTTTTGTGTCACATTTAAGAAATCTTTGCCCAAAGGCACTGAGATTTTCTTGTTCTCTTTTAGAAGTTGTGTAGTTTTACCCTTTATACTGTCAACTGAAAAAAAAAAACCACAACCTAAAAGTTGACAATTATGTTTTATTCCAGGGACACGCTGAGAACTTACACCTGGGAGACAGCCTCTCGGACAGCTCTGAGGGACTGTTCTGGAGAGTAAGAGAGGACCCAGGATATATAGGAGTTTTTGCAAAAAAAAAATCAGGTAGTCAGAACATCAGAAGATTACTGCCAGTTAAAGAAAAAACAGACATCTCAGGTTAATGAATTTAGCACTTTTCTATGCATGGGAAAATGCAAGAATCTGGGCTCACTGAAATCATTCTTTTGATATGCACCTTAACTATCTAGGGCCAATATCCTGTTTTCTCCATCCTGAATCACCTCAGGGTGCATCATAGGGGGAACCGATATGGTGGCTGATGGTTTGATGGCTGCAACATCCTTTGTTTATGATATGGCTGGTGATTCTTTGTCCACAACATTTAGACATACCATTCATTTCAAGTTAACT